CATGAAGTAACAAAGAAAAAGTTAACTTTAAAGGCAACTTGGCATGTAAATCTCAATGGAATTATTGATGGAATTAAAATATTGACTGGCGATAATCTTAGGTGATCTAATGACATCCAAAGGAGATGGAAATGAGAGATTGGCAGCTGTACAAGAGGGATGATTTAGTATCTTCTTTTTTTCTGGGGGATGGCATCCACTAGCATATCCATGCAAATTGAACTCCATGTGTCACCTCCTTTATGCAGAGTTCTAAATCCAATCATATAGAATTGTTAAATGTGCTTTAAGCTACATCCAATCCGTCACTAATTCAGTTTGATATGGAGCAATGTCATAGCTGCCTGAGGAATCATTTATCTCTGTCAATCAACAGTTCCAATTTAGCACTCAAAGGCTGCGTGCAACACATATTGTCATTCAAGTAAGGTCTGTTTTTGTTCGGTGACCTATTCTGATGAGACGATGTTTAATTCCAGAACTTTCACAAAAGCTGCTGGGAATAAGACAGCAGGGTAAGGAGGTAATTGGCTGTATAAGAGGATGTCAGGGCGAGGTAAAGAGTTTGACTGGAATTAAAGCAAGATAGCAGCATTAAATTGCCCACACCGTCATACGTGCATAGATCAAAGCTCTGTTCTGAAGTTGAGACATCAATGGCATCAAAAATCAAAGAAAGTGGGGGATGGAATAACTGGATGGAAGGTGTTCTTGCTAACCTCCTGCTTCTCAAGACCCCTAAGGGTTTGCTTCTTCTCAGACTACTTCTGCTTTTATTAGGAAGGTAAATGTGGAAAAAGGCACGTTAGCCTGATCTACATGTCTCTTATTCCATCTGTCTGCTCATTACATGCATCATCAGCAGCTGCACTCAAATGACACCACCAGCGTGTGTTTAAAGATTTACATGCTCAGGGGTGTGTGTGTCAAACACCTTTCCCTAGCAGCAACTGAGACACTGGAAAAAATGTACTTGCCAAGAGCCAAAGGTTTTCCATTTTCCATTTGGAACTGGGAGGTGAGACGATCACTGGCTCTATGAATGGAAGCGTCTCCTTTCTCTGGTTACTCCCTATGACATCAAGGCTGTGCCAGTGGCAACATGAGATGTCCACAGTGTGACACTGACCCTGACATTTGACCTCTTGCCCTGGTTTCCACTGTGTGTGATCTTACTGTGTAACCTGAGAAGTAATTCTGTGTGTGTGTGCATGAGAAAGAAAAAGAGTGAGAGAGATAGAAAGGGGTAAGACAGAAAGATACCAGTTTAATGTGTGTGTGTATGTGCTTATAGGGTTATTCTATGCCAACTTACCTAAAGCCTGTCTGGCCACAGCATAGATTTTCATGCAAAACTGCAAAACCTTGTATTTGTTTCATCCACCCATGCAACATTTTGAAATTGTGCTTAAATTAGTTTTTTGTTTTAAAAATCTTAAATATTGAATTTAACTGCTCACAAAATGACCGAACTGTGCTAAAATGTTATGTGGGCATAAATACAGCACAAAGAATAATATTTTATTTCAGAATAAATGTTTTCACGTCAATAAGTACAGTACAGTTTAAAGTACAGTTTTCAAAATTTGCATGGTTGCATTAATTTACATGAGTTTTTTTTTTTGTTTTTTTTTTTTTTACCATAGAACTTTATGGAACCCTCCCTACATGAACTGGTGTAGAATAACCCTTAAATAGTTTGCTTCACAGAGGGCTCTCCATTCTTAACTTTGGGCCACCTGTCCTTGGCTTTCTGAAGTTCTGCTGACTTGATTCAGAGGATCCATTTGGATTAATTAACAGATGTGTCTGATTTTAGTTGTCAGACTTTTAAATTTAGTTAGCATGTACTAGTTAACTGTATTGGAGATGCTAAGACACAAAATGTTTCCAAGGTGTCGAAAGTTGTTGTCCAAGTGCTTCACTTTCATATTTAAAGCAAGCATCTATATCTATCTATATCTAGCCAGTCCATTATTCTGATTCTTTGTTTTGCAATTTTTTGTGTATTTCCTTTTCTCAGTAATGGTTTCTTGACAGCTACGCATCCTTTCAGACCCATAGTGTTAAGTTTTCTTCTCACAGTGGAAGGATGGACAGAAACACCTGTTGATTTTTTGGATCTGTAGTAAGAAAGGAGCTTGATTTTCTCCTCTCTCCAAAAGATGAAAGCTTTAAGCACTGTTTATCTGATGGTGACAGTTTCAGTGGCCTACCAGGTCTTTGGAAGATTGGATGGTTGATTGGATACCCATTTTCTCTGTACCCTTTAATATTTTTGACCTCCAGTTTTGGAAACTTCTGTTTTTACTTGCAAGTGTGTAATGATTTAGACATACAGTTTGGATGATGCTAACAAGCGACTAAGCTTCTAAACTTTTTGGCTACTGTGTTGTTAGGAGTCCCATTTTCTTTATATCTTTCTCTTTCTATCTTTTGTATCTTTTTTCACTTAACTTCCTTTTACCTTTTCCTTCCCAGGGCATGTTGGTTATCTTAAACCTAATCTGCTCAGATATATCTCCTGAAAATCGAATAACATTGTACTTGAACATGAACATGAACATGTACAATGTTAAAAGTTGCACAGTACTGCAGTACGGACGCAGATATTGGTATAGATGTAGATATAAAGACAGATATACAAACTCAGTTCCAAAATAGTTGTGACAGGCTGTGAAATGCAAATAAAAACAGAAAGCAGTGATTAGTATGTTAGTGTACCTATATTAAATTGAAAATGGTACAAAAAAACATGTTATGTTTTACCATATAAATTTCATTGTTTTTGTGAATATGTACTCACACCAAATTTGATACATGACAGGACCATGTTTACCACTGTGTTATCACCTTTCACTCAATAAGACACATGTTTTCAGTGGGATACAGTTCTGGACAGCAGACAGGCCACTCCAGCACCTATACTCTCTGATTACTCAGCCATGCTGTTGTAACACAGAACACAGAATATGAGTTGGTGTTGTCATGTTGAAATAGTATAGACAAGTGAAAAAGGAAACACAAGTTGCTCCAAAATGTGTTCAGAGTTAATAGTGTTTTCACAGAAGTACAAGTGCATTATTACACCCACATATTATGACAGACCCTGGCTTTTGAACTATGCTGGTAACAGTCTGGATCGTCCTTATCTTATCTGGACTGGATATCACAGCGTACATTATTTTCATAAATAATCTTAAAGTTGGACTCGTCAGATCACAAAACACATTTCCACTGTGCATCAGTCCATTTCAGCTGAGCTCAAACCTTTTCTGGACACTGTTGACATATAACTTCAATTGTACATAGAATCTTAACTTGCATTTGTGGATGCAGCGACAGATGGTGTTTATTGACTACTGTTTTTCAAAATATTCCTAAGCACATGTGATGATGTCATCACAGAAGCATGCCAGCTTTAATGAGAGGTCGAAAGTCATGGGCATTCATTTTGGTTTTTGGTCTTTTCCTTTACGTACAGATTTCTCTGGATTTCCTGAATCTTTTGGTTTTGGATTTTTGCTGATGCATTTTTGCCAAAGTTGTGAGCCTCAACTCATTCTTGCTCACAAAGGACTAGGCCTTCCCTGAATGCTTGTTTTATATCCAAGAATGACTGCATCATCAGTTCAAGATGTTTTTTTGAATACTTCACAATATTCTTAGTCTTAAACTACCCTTGTTCCAGCTTTTGGAATGTGTTGCAGGCATTAGTTTCAGAATGAGTCCATATTTACCAAAAGGTAAATATTACATATCTTGTCTTTATACTGCTCAGTCCTGCTGCTACACAATATTATAACTTTACAGCTCTTAACGTGATAGTAATCAGCAGTTTTGCAGCCAGTAACCTATTCTGCCAACCAGACTGCCTCTTCCACAGTAACACGATCAATAATAGTTTATTAAGAATTTATAACCCATTTAATTAAAAATGCATGACTGAGAATAAATTGCCCATGCCCTGCACAAGGTATGTGGTTTAGAAGCTGTGATCATTCATTGAAAATTTGCTTTTAAATGAAGTGTTTGGCTTATTTGTGCCAGAAACACTGCAGAAGTACATTCGAGAGACAACACAGCGCTGCAGTACCCTGCAGAAACTGTGAATTACTGTAGAGGCTAATGTTGATTACTATAGAGGCGTCAGTGACTAATGAAGAAGAATCATGATCACTTCCCTGCTGAAAACAGCATAGGGCAGTATGAATTCCATGCTTGTCTAAGCTGGTTTATGCTGGTCTTGTGCTGATTTGGTTGGTGCTGGTTTATTTGGTTACCCAGCATAGTCATGCTGGTTGACCAGCATCCAAAACACAGGATATGCTGGTTTTGCTGGTCTATGCTGGGTTTTCTAACAGGGTTGTATAGTAAGATAGTATTTGTATTCTATGTAGTTGTTTTTTTTTCAGGCTATAATCAACACATAAGTATTAAAGAATCAAAGAAAGAAAGAAAGAAAGGAAGGAAGGAAGAAAGAAAGAAAGAAAGAAAGAAAGAAAGAAAGAAAGAAAGAAAGAAGAGAAGAAAGAAAGAAAGAAAGAAAAAAGAAAGAAAGAAAGAAAGAAAAAAGAAAGTGAGAAAGAAAGAAAGTGAAAGATCCCCCTCCACACACACTCCACCCCCCCACACACACACGCGTTTGTTTTACATTACTAGTGAGGACATCCATTGATTTCTGTTGATTTTGTTATTACTGTAGCCAAGTAATACTACACCCGCACCTAAACCTAAACCTAACCCTAACCTCAGGATTCAAAAGGCGAATTTTCTGCTCTTTCAGTTTTTCCAGAAGAAAAGTAATTTGTGATGAAACAAAATTTACGTTACATGTAGTCCTCACAAGGATAGCAAGACAAGCACACACAAACACAAGCAAGCACCCCATACCACGCACAAGCTCGCGGCACTGCTCTCCGTGTCACTCATTGGCTGAGCCCAAACGCCGCTCGCACGCGCGTGTCTCCTGTGTCTCGGCTGCTGCGCGTGAAATTTCACTCGTTAACAAGTTTGCTGCGCGCGCGGATCTATCAGAGAGCTGGAGGGTGGGAGCGCGCGCTCACTGCACACTGCTTACCGAACACACCGCACATACTCGTCCAGCAGCGGCACAGCGGCCACACAGAGCGGCGCACACGGGGACCCTCAGCAGCACTGAAGAAACAGGTAAGACCCCACAACCCACACATCACTCACCACACTGAAACACAATGCCCTTCACTTCAGACACAGGCTGATTTCTGCTTGTTCATAAACTGGATGTTAACAGCACCTCTGAGCTGAATTGAACATGTAATCATAAAACTAGGCACAGATCTCAACCTCTTACAGACGGAGGGTTTTTTTAAGAAAATCCCTGGAAGGAATTATTCTGAAACTGCAAGAAGTTCAGTTACTTAGCACCAGCCGACAGGAGGCTCTTCATAGTATAAACCAGTCTTTTGTTAATGCTTTTGTTTAGTATAATATCGCAAGTCATATCTATAATGTATACCCTGAAATAATTGTGGTATAATTGTTGTGATATCTTGAGATGTCTATTATAGATACTGTACTGCATCAATATTTGAGATTTATTCTCCAAGCTGCATGAAATCTATTGGAAATTTCTTGCGTCATACCAACAAGTTAAACCATCCTCAGAAATACAGACCACACATCGTCTATGATATCTGTGGTTCTGACCCACTAAGAATGCTTACATTACAGCCCTTCGCTCAGCTGGAAATATATCCATTAAACTACTAAGGTACATGCCGTACGCTGCTGCCATTTTTTTCTCCAGCTATGTTCTGCCATTGCAAGTACATATTTTTCAAATTATGTAACATTTGAGATTGTGTGCTGTGGATTTAATCTCTCATGGGGTAATATTAGACTCAAATCTCAAGTATGCTACAACAGTATTACATCTCTCAGATAGAGCGGTCCAGCTTCAGGAGATCAGCTCCCTCATGAAGTGCCAGAATCGCTCAGCACATGATCCAGCTCGAGTTTTTGGAGATTGTGAACTGCAAGTTTTGCCAAGTTGCTGTGTTTTACATGCAATCTTAAAATTAAAGTTGCCAACAAGGTTTTTTCTGGTACAATGCCATAGAAAAAACTATGTTGAACTCATGAAGACCTTTTTTAATAGATTATCCTTTTTGTGAATGTCCAAATATGGTTTTTCTACATTCTTAGCGAAAACGGTTCTATATAATACCTCAAAAAGGTGCTTTGATTTCTTAGTGCTGTTGAACCATTGTTAGAAAGGTCCTTTAAAGCAGTGGTCCTAAAACTGGTCCTCAGGGACCCCACATTTTCTATCCATTCCAACTCGTGACACATTGGGATGGAGAAAAAATATGGAGGGTCCCTGAAGATGACTTTGAGAGCCACTGCTCCAAAGAGCCATCAGGTTTTCCATCATGAAGAAGAACCATTTAACCATGCAAAGAACCACATGTATTCAAATGGTTCTTTAAGTGTCCACGGTGCGATATATAACCACTGCCTTGACTAAAGAACCACTGAACTGTTTTCTTTTTTTTAAAGCTGTAAGGCCTCAAAAGAACCCTTTATTTTAAAGAGTGCAGGTTTCACTATTTTGCAGTTTGCTCTGAGACTCTTGTGCTCACCTATCGTGCCGTCAGCGGTTTCGTGTACGACTCACATGACTTAGATAGTTCTATTTGCTCTAATCATAGCATCCCCAGTTCCCTGTATTGTTACCTGAGGCTAGCAAAGATAATGTTTAGTCATCTGTGAGGCGTTGTGTCCGCGCTATCCATTGGTGGATGGCAGCAGAAGCACCAGTCAGGCCAGTATCCATCATTTCCCTGGATTTGAATAAGATTTTCCATACAGCTGGGAGGGGGGTGGGGATGGGGGTGGGTGGTTGAACTCTGTCCTTGGACCCAGCCATGTTCAATTATTCAGGAAACCATCTCTATTTTTTGCCTCCCTGACTGTCAAGCCTTGCACAGCAACACCTCAGGGCACCTTTAATTGAAAGAAAACGGGGCTGTTTGTGGAAATCAGTCATTTCCTCTTCATTGTCCTGAGTGGTACCTTTCACCAGCTATAGCTTCCAGTAATGCAGCCTTATGAATCAGCTCCTGAGAGATTTCAAACGCAGACACAGACACACGCGTACATACATATATGCAGCTGACATAACTGTTCCTGCCCACACACAGACACAGACACAGACACAAAAGCTTACACTTTTTTTTTTATTTTGCACGCATCCTCTGTGGATGAATTAACACGTCCACTGTCTTTAGGGGTTGCCCCTCTGAAAATATTTTGATGAGCAAATGAAGGCTTTGTGCGGCCGCCCACAGAGACAGCCTTTGACTGCGCCTTTGTCCCACTATAAATGGCACCAAACACAAGCATGGCCCTTTGATCCCTCACTCAAGGCCGCTTTGTCTCTGCCGCTCAAATTTACCAATGAAAAGGCTTGTATGCTAACAAGGGCCCCCGGTGCCCGCCGAGCGAGCCGCGTTTGTGTTGGCCACTGTGATCATAATAACAAGCATGAATAATTAGTCCATTCTCAACCCAGTGAGAGAGAGAGAAAGAGAGAGAGAGAGAGAGCGCACAAACAACTCGGCCTCCCTCTCTTTTTCTTTCTTCCGCTTCAGGTCGTGCCGCCGCCGTGGCAGATCAATTTGAATAGTGCTTTTAGTAAAGTTTTTTTTTCCTTCGTCACTGTGGCTTGTTGTGCTACTTGCTGTGGTGTTACAGCTTTGTTTCATGGAAGTATCCTGACCACGTTAAGGCCGTAGGAGGCAGTTTTTTTTTTCTTTTCATGGTCCTTTAATCTCTTTTGCTTTATATTACTGCTCTTTTACTTCTCACTTTCATCTACCCACTCACTCACTCACTCACCACCCCCCACCCCCCATCAATTCATCCCCAGTCTCTCTTTCTGAGTGAACGGACTACACTGACACCTGTATCAGGGACGATAAGCCGCAATGCCAGGATCAGCTACTCCTCATTGCGGATAAGTAAGGAAAAATCTGTTAAAGTGGAACTTATCTAGCAGCGGATAGCATTGTCTCACCTGTCACCTCTGAAGCTTATGGCAAGCTTATGGGCTCGGCACATCAAAGCTCATGACACGCTCCTGCAGCCTCCTCGCTCGCCTTATCTCAGATCAGTAGGCCCTAAAGAGACTGACGTTATCCATGTAAATGCCGAACTGATAACAGGTCTGCAGTCAGATTAACGTACTATGCCGAGGCGACATTTGTTTACACCAGTGATTAGGCCGACATGGTCAAGAAGTCTATGTGTTACACGCAGCATACTCAGTGGGACGGTGGTTCAAATGACCACAGGGTACGTCATGGTTGTGATGTCTATGGAATAAAAGCATTTTTGACTATATACTGTTTTATACTGTGATTAGACAGACCTCTATTTTCTAAAGTGAAAAAGTATAACATCACTGTCAGAACAAAACCCCTTTTTTCTCCATTTTTGTTGTCACACTGTGTCAAAATGTCATGAAAAACAGACCAACAGAAATGGTCCAAAAGTGTAAAATCTAAACTCCCATTTAAAGTTAAGAATGTTTTTTCCTTCTACTGAAACATTACTTTTTCTGAGACACAAGATTTTGTTTCCCGACAGCAATGATAAGCTCATACTTCTACCGTCATTAGATTTTTCCCAATTAAAAGTGTGCATACTTGCTTTTACTTGATCGTAACTTGTTGGTTTGACATGAAGAACTTCCAAAATATCCAGGGTAACTTGAAGTCTACATCTCAAATATAGATGGAATTGAAATATCTATAATAGACATCTTAGAGTGTATCACATAATGCTTATATCACACCTTTAACAAGGAATATCACAATAAGCTAAAAGGGATTGAAAAAGTGGATGATTTGTTTTTCAATGGGGAAGGCATCCCCTTGTATTGCCCCTCCCATTAAGGTCTGAGAATAATATAATCAGCTGTTTTTTTGACTCATGCAACAAACGATTCAAACAATGCAAATATTAATACACATCCCAAGTCCTGCTTTATGTAGATAGCCCTTCATAGATTATCTACACACACACACATTTTCCAAGCCACTTGAGCTGGAGCTGGAGCCTATCCCAGCAGTCATTGGGTGGAGGGCAAAAGATTATCTATAGTTCTTTCTCAACAGTGTTCAGCTTAGCGTTAAGGTCAGTTCCAGGGTTAGGTTTAGGACCAGAGTTATGGTTAGGGTTAGGTTTAGTGTTGGGGTTAGGGTTAAGAAAAATTAAGGAGAATTTTAATAAATTTACTAAGTATTTAGTTCACTGCATGATGAGTATCTAGAGAGCATCTATAATGGGCTATATAAATAAAATGTTACCCCAGTTTTAAAAAATCAGCACAGATCCTTTTACCAAGTTTATTCAAATGCAAAAATGTCTTGCAGCCTGGCCATGACTTCTCTTCTTAAGCAAAGATGAGGTTTCAGACTGACAGAAAATTATCTGTCTCATGTCAGTGGATGAAATGCCACCTTACATTTACTCTACATGATTATGCAGCACTGTGTGGGAAATGTACAGTCTGAGTCAGGCAGCCTTAGACAAGGTTTCAACATTTATAGAGAATTAAAAACACAACAACAATGAAAGACCCCAAAAATGCTTCAAATGCGCACTGCATTCCTGCAGGCAATCAAGCCAACTTTTTAAAATTCAACAGATGTCAAATGGCCTAATATCTATGTAGGCCAGTCCTTGACCTTGTTGAACTAAACAATTTGAGGATGAAAATTTGAGGGATCCATTCAAATGCAGAAAGGTGCTAAGAAAACTCTGTAAAAGAAAAGCTGTAGAGTGCCTTACTTTGGCTTCCCTTAGAATCAGAATCAGAATCAAGCTTTATTGGCCAGGTATGCTTACACATACAAGGAATTTGGTTTTGGTTACAGGAGCTCACAGTGCACAGTATCAAACATTTACATGTAGTGAGTAAAATAAAATACAATAAGATACAATACAAAAAAATAAAATAAAGATAAAATAAAACATGCATTCCTACCATCACTCACTCATACACACACATACAGTCATACCTGTAACCTTTACATGTGCAAAGTATGAGTCTAAAGTCAATGAATCAATTCAGTGCTGTCTGTCTGAGCAGTTCTCAAAAATGCTGAAAGCAATATTAATTAGTAAGACACCACCAGGTTTATTTACTGACCATGGCACTGTCCATGGCACCATGGTACAGGACTGTTTACTTAGAAAGTATTTCACTTTTCCACTTTTCATTTCTGAGACTACAGGTCAACTAATTACATCACATACATACACATCACTGATTCATTGATTCATTGATTGACTCATTCATTTGTTTAAAGTATCTTAGCTTTAACTAGAAGTATTCAGGACTTTTTTAAAGGCAACAAGATGATCTTTTGGTTTAGCTGATGTATTAGATGACCATACACATTTGGCAATACTCAAAACCTCTTTTAACTATCAAAAAAATTAGAGGCTCCTATGCAAATGGGATCTAATATTGAATTTCACACCAGGAAATGTAATTTGATCTATTATACTGATAATTTTGAACATTAAAAAGAAAACATCCATAATACATTGATATGGATGATGTATTAAGGGTGAGATATCAGTGACTTACATCAGTCAGAATCTTCATACTGATACATCATTAATGATAGCTATGCCTGATTCAATGAACAGTTATTGAGATGTGTATCAGAAATAGCATACATTATAGACTTGGACTTGAACTACAGAATGGACCTCCACAGGACTGGGCTGTGATTTGACTGTCAGTGAAAATAAAACTCAACTTACCATATGTAGTTGTGCCATTTTTTCATGGGTTTTTATTATGGGTTTCAGTCTGGGCTCAGGAAGACAGACTATCCTAGTTATTTTTGACAGAAGTATTTAGGGTTTTGAAATGTTCCCCAAAAAGATCAGGGATGATGTCCACAAACCAAACTGCCCTCCTTATTTGCTCTGATTTGTGCAGCTGAGACCAAAAATATCTTCCTCTCTGATTTAGTTCAGACAAACTGCTTGGTACATTTCAAATGTATTTTCATGAATTCTCAAAGTTCTGGTTTCTGTAGCTGTCAGCGGGCTCAATATTGTGCGAATACAATTTCAACTCCAAATTGCTTGATGAGCTGATCTGAATAAGCAGCAGCCAAATGAACCATGGCAAGCCCCTGGCTTAAGATGTGGAAGCTGGAAAGGATATTTTTGGCTGGTCTCACTTATTTAGAACTGAGAAAATAACCCAGCTGTGGTTATTTCAGGTGGCTGGTTTCATTCAGGCTCAGCCACATTCATAGGCAAATGAGAGCATGGATGCATTGGCTGAGCTTTCTGACAGTAATGGCTTTGTGCTGGGGAGTTCACTTCCTTGTCATTTCTTATTTTAGGCTTTTTAGTGTGCAGGACATTATGACGGAGGTGATGAACACCTGCGAGACGGCGGTTGGAGACTATGGAGCATCTGGAGACCAGAACATCGGTTTTCAGGTGACCTGTTCAAGTTGGATTAGTTTAACCTGCAATTTAAGACATTACTGATGAAATCTGCAATGTCTATAGTTGTTTTTTTCTTTTTAAGTTTGATAACAATTAACCTAATATAATTAATTGACTCCAGAGCTCATTATGTGATAGTAATCCTGTTTAAATTAACCTCACAGCAAAGGAATAACAAAACCTGCTAACAGAAATAGCAATGTACTGTGTTATTATTGTCATTGAGTGTTGCTCCTGTCACTTTACACTGATATGTACATCTGAGACATTTCAATGCAGGCTATCTGTGGTAATTTGGGAAAATTATAGATAAATCTTCAGCGAATTTTTTTACTGATTGTTTGAACTGACTTAGTTTTACATTTTTATTCATAAACAATCATCATCAATTTTGTCCTCACATGCATATGATTTTATGATTAAATCTTTTACAATAGAGTAATTGTTTTGCTATAATATAAACTTTTGTGACTCCGTTTTATCTTTTATGGATTTTTACACCCTCTTATTAAGCTGCTCTTTATCATCATGTACACAGGATGATTCAGGGACACTAGCTGAATTCTAACTGGTTCATACAGTCAGAGAAATTGCTGACACATGCTCATTGCACATAGACACACAGAGAACACACGCATGCAAGAACACATACTGTGTTCTGAGTTGTGAGGTGTCTCCATTGCCTCTTTCCTCTTCTCATCTCTGCTTCCCCAGCGTCCCCGCGGATGGCTGACAGGTGTAAATGTCCCTCCATTGCTCTCTGTTGACAGGATCTATTTCTGACTGCACCTCCATCACTTCAGCCTGATTGCTATCCCTTTCGTTTTGCTCTCATTGCCCCCTAAAAGCCAATCTGATGTCTGTATGCTCATAAAGACCAGATGAATTCAGATTGCTTCCAGCAAGCTCGGGAGAGACTTGAAAGGTCACAATCTTTTCAGGAAATTATCATCATTACATTTTTTGTGTGCGTGTGCATGAATGAACACTGCCCATACATGCAGTTGAATAGATCCTATGTGTCCCCTTTCTGTTTTGTGATGGCGGCTAACATGAAGAATTCTCTGGAGTTTGATCAATATGCCATTCTGTATTTATCGTTATGGCTTGGCACAGTCTCTTGACCTTTTTCTGTCTTCCGTCCCTCTCTTTCTCTCTCTTTCATCTCCGTCACTTCACAAGTGCACTTTAGAAATAATCATACATGACATAAGTCACATCTCGCTCTCCTGAACTCTAAACAGAGCAGTGGCGTGGTCGAAGGACCTATGCATGACGTGAGGTGAATGCTGGACGCTTCATTATTGAGACCCATCTTGCTGCTCTTAATGGAGCCTTTGGAGTAGCACACAGTGGGGAACAGTCTGTAAACATGTGTTTATTCTTATCCCGAGCGATCACCTCGGCAACAGACTCTCTGATTGGCCATAATGGACGTGCATAGATATTCAAAGCGGAGTGTTGAACTCTTCAGGGCTGAATATGGATTGCGGTTGCCTTAAGCCTGTTAATTCGCTTCAAGAGCTTTCAGCAGTGTGTGCATGCCTCCATGCTCTAATGAGATCTCGCTGCTCTAAACCCTTGATAATCTGAGGGGATATTTTGGGGAAATATGGTTATAACCTTATTGATCTTGCATGCATGACAAGAAGCCATAACTCAAGAAAAGAATGACTCCAATGACTCCTGTGCTGCAGGTTTTTCCAGATTCGCACGAGCGGTACCCTAAGCTTTCCAAACGTTTGCCGTCCATCGTGGTGGAGCCCACTGAAAGTGGAGAGGTGGAGAGTGGAGAGTTGCGATGGCCTCCAGATGACTTGAGCCCTACAGATGAAACCAGAGACACCCAGGCCAAGAAAGCAGGTGAGAATTTCCAATGAACAAGTTTTATTCCATTGAGTGTAGAGTAAAACCTTGAAGTCTGTTGATTTAGACAGGTTAAAAGCATAACAGTACACCCTTAAAATACAGGTGCCATCTTTGCTTCCCTGAAGAATGTCTCATTTTTGATACCAAAAAGTGGTTTATGGATCCAACAATGGTTCCTGTATGGCAGTGTTTCCCTACTTGGTCCTCAGGACCACCCAGACGGTCCACATTTTTCCTTCATCCTATATATTGTGACTTAGATTGGAGCAAAAAATGTGGACCACTTGGGAGGCCCTGAGGACCAGCCTGGGAAACACAGTTTCATGACATCTCTTCAAAGAACCCTTTGGCACCTCAGTTTTTATGAGTGTAAATAATGAGCTATCAAGCTCCAATCGTGTTCAAACAAGCAGAGGATGAAGCAATGCTAACTGCCATGACATGTAACAAAGGCCACATTTATGCACCACATTTTAATGTAAGATCATTGACAGCGTGTGGAAACTAAATGTGTTTCAGGTGAAGAGCCGTCGGCAGAGGTTGAGGAGGCTGGCAGAGTGACAGCAAACTGAAGGGCAGTAGCTGGCACCAATCCAACCTAATACTGTGAATGTCTTCATGATGGACAAGAGTGAGCAGGAGGCTCCTACAGTTAGGTCTGACTGCAGTATCACCCGCACTAGAGCCACCCACCTGTTGACAGACCTCCCATCCAGTAGGGGGAGCTGAGGCCTGAGAGACTGTCTTTGCTGAAATAACTCACGTGCCAAACTCTAGTGGTAGCCAGCTACTGTGACTGAGTTGTACATTCTTTTTATCCATACCATTATGAGTCATCTACAATATTAGCATTAGATTTCATTTGTGCCTGGTTTAAATGATGTATTGACTTTGAGGTAGCCTATATATTTATTTGCTTTGGACCAAAGTCTTCAATATTTGACCCTATTGACCCACCACTCCCATTAGTTGAACAGCTTATAATTTGATGTGTAATACAGAAATTTAATATATGTCAAGATGAATTTCAATCAATGTAAACATGTAGTTCATCAGCAATAGTGCTTCTTTGCAAATGTAGATTACTATGAATATGTACAATAGATTATATTTTACAGCTTTCTTATATTATGTTTAATGTAAAGCTACTATAACATAGTATAAGATATGATATTCCTTAATCATATTTTTCATTTGTTCCCTAGACACATTTGCACATATTGCTTGCCATTTACATTATGTTTTTTATCTAACATTATTTCTTCTACTGCTTTTGTGTTTCAAGTCATAACTGTCTACAGTCACAGAGATTGTTCACTGGATGTTTTCCATATGAATTATAACTATATATTGTTTTACCAACATCTAAATTATTCTAATTAAACATCTTTTGCAGTCATGTTAGCCAACTTTTGAAGACAAAAACCTGGAAAAAAAACAGAACACAATCTCTGGATTGTACCAGTTCAATAACCTATCTACTCAATATGCCACGAATGTCCTGTTTATGTAAAATCTGTTACAAATACGAAGCACCTTGCCTAGACGTTTGGAATATGATAGCACTGTTGATCATTTTCTACCGAGGTGCTTACTAGCTTGGTTTGACAACATATTAAAGGCACATATGCTATAACATGTCAGTGCCTTTCTGTGGACACATGTCAGGTGTTAGCTGAAGGGGCTCTCAGACGAAGATGTGTTGACACAAGCAGTGAATTAGGCTGCTTTTACCCAACAGCAGCTGTCTTGCTCTTTGTGGACAAAGTCTGCCAGCTCCTCCACTCACTGCCAAAATGGCTACCCTCACAAAAGCGACGCTGCCTGAATCCTAGATCATTCCCCACCAGAGTGTACTATTTACCAACGTCCTGAACAGTGAGCCGTTTGTAGAAATTTCAGGTTATTTCAGATTCAGATTCAGATTCAGCTACTTTTAGGGTCTGCTTTCTAGGCACTGAAATCAGACCTGAAAAGTACAGAACACAGAATCCAAAGCACTAATTCTTCAAAGTGGACCCTGAAATATTTGACCAAACCTGAAGAAAATAGTCATGTCCTGATTTGGATATCATTTTAAAACTTTTTTGGGTTTGTTTCGAGTTCATATTGGACACCCATGTTCTCATAGCCACCCTTATGGTCTCCATTCAATAGATTTTGTCCTGCATTTGCTGCTGCCTTTGTTATTCTTGCTATTTTACTCTTCCTGGAGTCACTCATGGTTTTGACAGTGCAATCCACAAGGACCAGCACAGGCCTGTCCCAAAAGGCGCCATAAGCCCTGCAGTTCTCTAAAAGTCTGCAATTTGGTGACATCAACAACATTCGTATGTAAACAGCGAGACCTCAGGGTGCTAAGTTCAAGAAAGTACTTGCTCACCCAGCAAAAATATTTGAATGCCAAAATGAGAAATGGGACACTATATGGTCTCATGGGTACTCACAATATAGGACCACAGAACCAAGTGAGCCAAATGTAGTGCTTATTGATGATCTTGTGACAACTGTTAATCAATGCACTGTTTGTCAATGTTTATATGCACACCAATAGTTTGACAATAGTGTAACAAAGCCTGCTAAGATATGACCATGTATTTAGCATGATTTAATCATCATGGTCCAACTAATGTCTTAGTCAACCTAAGCTTAAACCATGTGGTCCAGGCTCATATTGGCTAGACTATAAAAGGGAGATTTGGACACGTACATACTTAGATCACTCAACTGACATTTTGTATGTAAGCAAAATTCCAATGATTTTTCAAAATTTCTGTAATTCTGTCGTAGAACTGTGAACAAAGTCATACAGTGGTGTGATGTGAAATGATACATTGTAGAGAAACTTACTGGCTCAGGTTTCTTCACAGTAGTGGTGATAGCAACCAGGATGTCTACAATGCAAAAATGGCCATTTTATTTACAAACTGACCAGTAAAATGTGTTTTCTAACTTTTATATGTATTGTTGTTGATGGTAGAATAGCAGTAAATCTGTTTTTGCTTACAATGTCCTGCATGTTCCTCTTCACTATGAATGTATTTAAAGCTGATCTCAAAATCTGATTTCAAAATTATTGTAAAACAATGTTTTAGGCATCAAGTATAAACATTTCAAGTAATTGTTTTTCTTGAGAAAGTGTTCAAAAGCAATAAACACTTTCAATATCTGGTTCCTATCACCGCCCACAGTGAACAATACTAGCTTATGATTCCAGCTCCAGCTAATGTGCAACAATGTCTCAGGCATCAGGCAGCGTATTCATAACCATGTCATGTAATAACTTTTTCCGAGGGACCTTTTAGAGGCAGTAAACTTGTTAGATGTCTGGTTCCAATCACCACCACTGTGAACACTTCTGATTCAGTAATTGTCTCTAGAATAAAGAACTTCACCTTTCACAAACCACTGTGAAGTTTTGAAAAATCCATGGAATTCCCCTTTAAGAATGTTGACCTTTTTCCATTATCGGTGATAAGAAATTTTGTTGGACTCACATCAGGTTGGGGTCAGGTTTGGGCAGAATTTTGTTGGACTGCATTCGGTTCAGACCAGAATCTCAGGCTCTATAACAGCTCTACTTCAAAGCGCCATCTCTGTATCTCCTCTCTGGCACAGTGAAAGGTGGTGGCTACCTGCACAAGGGCAGAAGCCTCTGTCACTTTGGTTTTATTCCTCGCTGACGGAGGCTCTCCCTCGACAGAGCCCTAAAAGCACAATGTCAGAGAGAACAGGTGACTCTTGGGAAATGAGGCACTACTCAGTTCAGTCAAGTAGTGCTGGAGCTGTGACCTGACAGCCCAGAGATGATTTTCACTTCTTCTCCACAAGAGAGCTCCTCCATCACCGTGACCTTTTTTTCAGGGTGCGGCTTCTGAAAATAAACACGACGCTCTCAAAGGGAGCAGGAGTCGCAAGCCTCTTCCACAGAAGCACACACACCGCTCTTCTCCTGTCACACACTCACTCAGGCTGCTCACATGAGACGAGCAGCGGTTTATGAGTGCTCCTACACATGCTCACTCACCCACACACGCACACATACTCTCAGGCACCCACGCTCACTGGCCGCACTCACCCATGCTCAGTCTCAAACACACACACACACAATACTGCACTCCCCCTCACTCCTTCAAAATGACGAATTCAAGGAAAGAAACAACATAATGAGTAAGATGTTATTAAGGTGTCAGGCCACCACAAGCCACTAGAACAGCTTTAGTGCACCTTGGTGTGTATTCTATAATCTCTGGAACTGTACTGGAGGGACAGAACACCACTTTTCCAAAAGATACGCTCTCAATTGGTATTTTGATGGTGGTGGTGGAGAGCACTGTCTAACACATCAGTCCAAAATCTCCCATTGTTGTTGAATTGGGTCTAGATTTGCAATCCCATAGGATTTACATAATTTTTATACATAATTTTAATACATAATTTTCATCAAAATTATTCAGTCACCCCTCAGGCCCTGTTGTTGGGAGCTTTGTTATCCTGGAAGAGATCACCAGGATAGAAATGTTTCAATGTAGGACAAAGGCGATCAGTCAGAATAACTTTGTTTTGTCTAAGGGCACATGAGGACCTAAATGTTGCCAGCAAAATACCCCTCACAGCATAACAGAGCCAACTGACCCCCTCACTGTAGGGGTCAATTATTCAGGCCTATATCATTCTCTTGGCATACACCACACATGCACTCACCCACCAATAATATTGTGACGAATGACTCATCTAATCATATCACATTTTTCCGTGTCCCTGTAGAACAGTGAACTCCATAATATCCAGTGGTAATAGATACTTCTGTTAGAAATCAGCATGGGATTCCCTATCCCTATTGGATTCTAGTAGCATGTTAGCACTAAGCTAACAGCAATTCAAATGAATTTTTTTGGCCGTTCTAGATTAAACACAGACATTTAAAATGTGCACTGTAACATTCCAAGTTTTATTTGACGTTTTTAACATACATATCAACATACATTTTACCTTATAGCAAATTTACAGTCTCCTTCAGTGAAGAGTCTTGGCACAGAGCTGCCACTGTTTTCTACCATTGATTGAAGCACACTGATAAGGTTATCACTCATACTCACAGCAAGTGATCTAGGACTCTTAGAAGGCAGAAGGCCTGGAGTGACATATTTTCTGACAAAGTTAATCTCTGTCACTGTAAATCAAAACATGATGGGTTGATTCCAGTTTTTAATTGAACTGAAGGTTAACACATTAGTTTAAGTTTAGTCTATTAAATGTCTATTAGTGAGTCACTGACTATTAGCATATCTTACAGATATCCCTGCTGAAAAGACTAGCACAAACCGGCAAGCATTCCATGCTGGTCTAAGCTGGTCTGTGCTGGTTTAGCTGGTCACCCAGCATGGTCATGCTGGTTGACCAGCATACCAGTGTCCAAAACATGACATATGCTGGTTTTGCTGGTGACCAGCAGTGCTGTACTATGCTGGTTCTTCTAGCAGGGATGGCTCTGACTGAATTACTGGCTCTGACTGAATTACTATTGCGCTGGATCCAAAACAGTATTTAAATTAAACCTAGATTCAAGTCAATGAGACAAAAAGTGAGACAGTTCCTACCACCATTTCCTGAGGCAACAACAGCAGGCTGTGCACCAAGTACCGGCGGCCAGCTGGACAGACCTCAAATAAAACAGTTTTTACTTAAAATAAGCTCATTAGAAAATGTTTTGTTTGGAAATAGTGTTTGTTTTGTTTTGGTTCAAAATAGTCACAAGACCCTAACAATCACAAAAACAGCCACAGGTTCACTGTAATCATGAAGGGGTTTAGTGAAATCGCTCTAAATTTCCTGCTGGTGTGAATGGGACCTGGGTCATTGTTGTGACCTGATTTACTTGAACAATAAGTAACAATAACATTCTGCTTCTTCTTCTTATTATTATTATTATTATTATTATTATTATTTACAGTGATGTGATGTTGAACTCAAGTGAGCAAATGCTAGATTGTCAAATAAATGTGATTTTAAAACCTGATGCTAAAAATAGCGAAAGACACCTCAAAATATGATATAAACAAAAAAATGTCAGACAGCTGATGCCAATCCAGCACAACTAGGCTTGCCTAGTCTTGTTATGTATCGTCACTGTCCAAAGAACAACACATATCTCTTTATTTTATTTTTACTTTTTTACACTACTCGAGCATGGTTGACTTCCTTCATATTGTGTGAAATTTTCATGATGAACAAATAGAAATGCTCCAAAATTGCTTGGAACAAAATTTCTTTATGTTCACTTAAACGTAAAGTGACTGTTTTGGAGATACTTGTTTTTCTTTGGACAGTGATGATATGCAACAGAACATAGTAGGATGTAAACAGTTTAATTGCATCAGGCAGTACACCTGTACGGAAGCATCTGCTTGTTTTGCCTCTCCATTCACTTATTTAGATTTTTCCTTTAATTTATCACATGCTTGTTACACACTCCCAGACATCAAAAACACACACACACACACACACACACTCTGTCACCCACACTACCTCACCCACAAATGCACACGCAAATCCATGATTACTCACATACACATACACCCACGTGCTCATATTCACCCCTTCACACACACACATGCACACATATATATGCAC